TATTCTTTAGTGGCTTAACATGTATGTATCTTAATTTATGAGATTTGAGTTTCCTTAATTACAGGCATTATTTTACTTTCTCTTTTGTCCTGCACTTCTGTCACCCTCAGCATAATAATCAAAGTACAGCTGAAGCTCCACATCTGTGGATTCAAACAACCAGGGATTGAAAATGTAGTTAGTCTTATAATGGTTGCGTCTGTACTGAACAAGTACGGACTTTTTTCCTGGTCGTCATTTCCTAAACAATACAGCATAACAATTATTTCCATAGCATTTACATTTTATTAGGTATTTTAAGTAACCTGGAGATGATTAAAAGTGTACTGGAGGATGTGTGTAGGTTATGTGCAAATATGACACCATTTTCATATAAAGGACTTTAGCATCTTTGGGTTTTGGTGTCTTTTCAGGGGTCCTGAAACAAATCCTCCATGGATAATGACTGACTGTAATCGAAGTAGGGGTTTATTTGTTCAATTAAAGTCATGAGAAGTGAATGGATTTCATTCTCTGTCCTTTATAGGAAGAAGTTCTAAAGGATTTTGAAGACTTGGCTGGAAAACTTCCATGGTCAGACCCTTTAAAAGTATGGAAAATTAACACCAGTTTTAAGAAAAAAAAAATAAAACGCAAAAAGATAAATCAGAATTCAAGTAAAGAGAAGATTGATAATGGAAAAGACAACAAAATAGATGAGACAGGTATTAAAAAAGAGTTCCCTGACAATGCTTTAGATTCACATATCTTAGATTATTATGAAAATCCAGCCATCAAAGAGGAGATATCAACATTAGTAGGTGATGATTTGGCATCTTGTAAAGATGAGACTGATGAAAGCACAAAACAAGAAACTGAGCCTCAAGTGCTGAAGTTTAGAGTCACGTGCAACAGGGCAGGAGAGAAACACTGCTTTACCTCAAATGAGGCTGCAAGAGATTTTGGAGGTGCTGTTCAAGATTATTTTAAGTGGAAGGCTGACATGACCAACTTCGATGTGGAGGTACGTACCACTCTGCCTATGATGATCCAAGAAGGCTGTCCATAGATTTGTAGAATTTCCAGACTAACCCAATCTTATGGACAATTAAACTGAGGCAATAGCACTAGTAGGGTGTGGTCAAGAAGAGCATAGGCTGTGGAGACAGAGATCTAGATGCAGATGTTGACTCCACAACTGTGTAACTTTAGGCAAAATAGTCTCTCTAAGCCTCTCTTTCAAATGGAGTCAATAATGGTATATACCTTCAAGTTTGTCCTGAAGGTTAAATGAGGTAACACATTTACCTGGCATATACTAAGTGCTCAATAGACGGGAGCTATCAAGATTGTTTTCTCATTTCTAATCTAGTACTTTTTTACTATGTTATGTGGACATCAACCAGAATTAAAACAATTATTTTGTTTAGGTGTGTCTTGGTTGCAGAGCTTTGCTGCTAAAAAAACGTGAAGTACCTTTTTAAGACAAACCCCGTCCTTATCAAATCAGGACATTAGTGCTCATGCTCATCCTAGATCTAGCTCTCCTATTTCTTAAATTCTGCTAGATTTCCAAATCGAAATACCTGGTTTTGGCATGATTACTCTCTTTGGTCTTAATCTTCTGCTACCCAAGTGATTGACATGTGATCAATAGGAACTAGAATCTTTAAATTTCTGACAGCTTAAAAGGCCCTTAGCACTGATGTTTTTACCAAGAGGTGAGTTTTTGGGACACTTGAATCTGGGGCAAGTCACTAGTCTCTCTAATTTTTTTTTTTTCATGTCAAATCCGGAGAACAATTCCCTGTTCCTTTTTTTCTCATATAGCTGCCGTGAGAATGAATAGGCTAACTAGAACAATGGTGTCCAAAAGTTAAGAAGGTGGCTCAAAGGACAGTTTCTAGAACCATGCTACCTGTATTTAAATGCCGACTTAGAAGCTATTGTTGAGATCATGATGAGGAACTTTTAGGTGAAAGATTGTGGAACATTTTATTTTTACTTTAATTTTTATTTGAATAGTTTAAGTGTGTTAGGAAAATTATAACTAAGACAAAAATGCCATTTTTCACAGACATTATTGAGTCAGGTTTAAAAAAATAGTAAGAAAACAATATTAACAGATGAAAAAGCAAATGTGGCACAGAGTTAACAGTTGGTTAATCTAGGTGAAGGGTATATTTGGGATTTCACTGTGCCAGTATTC